TTTTTTTGGTACTGGGGATCAAACTCAGGACCTTGCACTTGCGAGGCAGGCGCCGGAACCACTGAGCTAAATCCCCAGCCCATTAGTTTTTATTTCTCACTAAGTTGCCCAGGCTGGGCTTGAACCTGCAGTACTCCTGTCTCAGCCTTCAAGAGTCCTGGGATTACAGATGTATGCCTAGATAAGAGTTCAGATCTTGAGTGACTTTGTAAGCTCTATAAATGAGTCTGTGCTATGTAAATTAACCTGAGAGTTTAATTAGTAACAGAAGATTTAGTAAACATTTTTGGACAAAGTGGTGAGTTTCCGGTAAAGTTTATCTACATAGGCTATAGAGTCTCTGGGGAATGTTTAGAACAGCCAATCCTTTATTTACACTGCTTAGAGCTGGGCTGGCCACCTCCTATGGTGCCAACCCTGGGACACACTATTCTACCACTCTGTTGGGTGGAATGTGGAAAGATGGCATGTATCACTGTATACTGATCTAAGGAAGGCTTGTAGTGAATCTTTTTTCCTTAGAACAACTTTGAGGGAAATACTGTTCTATTATTATCTCCATTTAACAGATTAAAAAACTGAGGTTCAGAGAGCTTAGGAAAATTTTCCAAGGTAACAGAACTACCAGTGGTAGAGCCAGGATATAGGCCCTGGCAGTCTGCTCTGGAAGCTGGCTAACATCCAGTAAATTGCTCTGCACCATACAGGTGTTCCCACAGGAGGTCACGCAGAAAGCCTATTATAGCATATGCCTTAGGTGAGTTAGTGACTCACTTGGTCAGTCAACAGATAGGTGTTGGGTGCCTCCTTTCATACAGGCAGACTAAGCATAGAAGATACAGCAGTGAGCAAAACAATCACACTGATGGATGATGTTTCCTTCCAGTGAGGTGGACAGGCTTTATCCACTAAATGTAATGACTAGCTAGTGAATTAGATGTATAAAAGAAACACAAGATATTATAGGTATTTAAAATTGTAGGACAGGGCTGGCTCAATGGTAGAGCACTTGCTTAGCATGTATGAGGTCCTGAGTGCAACCCAGCACTGCAAAAATGAATAAATGAATGAATGAATATATAGGACATAACCTTGTTTACTACTGAAAATATATTAACCTATTATTTTCAGATTCAATTGCTAGATGATATCTCAAAATGTATTCCAATGCCATTGTTCTATGACCCTATGATAGACTCACAAAGAATCAATAATTGAGTATTGCCCACTGTCTTTTAAATAGGTAGTGGCAATAGTTTGCATGTGAAATGTTTCCTAAAGGCTTGATTCCCAGCCTGTAGCACTACTGGGAGGTGGTAGAACCTTCAGGAGATAGCGGAAGGAAGTTAGTAAGCTGGGGGCATGTCCTTGAAGGGAATATTGGGACTCTGACCCCTTTTTCTTTCTCTTTGCTTCCCAGCTGCCATAGGGCAGCAGGTTTCTTCTACCATGTGCTCCTATATGATATACTGTGCTGCCACAGGCCCAAAGCAAGAAGGCCAAATAACTATGAACTGAAACCCTGAAACTGTGGGCCAAAATATATCTTTCCTCCTTAGTATCTCAAATATTTTGTCACAGTGATGGAAAGCTGAATAAAAAGTAGTGTTCAGTGACTGGAGGAAATGGATTCCCTGGTTTCCATCTTCAGTTATGCTAAGAAAACTGGTGCACTCTGACTGGTCATTGAATTTAACTAGTATCGACTGATAATGGCATAATATCTGCACTGATGGTTATAGACTTTATTTAGTCATATGTAATATTTGTGGTGTACTCTGTTTCTCTGAATTGTGACAAAGTATTGTGGTCCTGACCAGAGTGTCTAAGGACAAAGGTCCTACAGTTAGGATGCCTGCATGCAGTACCTGGTGCCACCAACTACTATGTGAATGTGGGCAAGTCACTTAACTTCTGTGCATACCACAGAGTAAGGACTCAGTAAGAGCTAGCGATGCAAGTGTGTGTCACTGAGCTCTGTCACTGGCCTTTACTTGCTGTGTGTTACGCTCAGTCACCACGACATAATGTTGTTATGTATTGTGCTTCCTGCGGCTGGAGTCAAGGGAGTCTTCACTCCCTAGGGCTTAAGTTATTTCCAGGGCACAGAAAGACGTCCATGTGGCCTGAAACATTTAACATCTCTAAAAACTAGTTTTCAGTCATGACTTAGGCACTGTGGAGAATGTCTGAATCATAATT